CCCACTTCCATTTGTCTCTGACCGGGTGCTGCATCAGCCGAGGCCAACCTGGACCAAACCAGACCGGAGTCTGGACCAAAACCTGGTCAGGGAGCCGGGTCCATGAATGGAATCCTTAACAAATCGGTCGAATCTGACCATTTCTTTTGTCTTTGTGCAGGTGCCATTAATCATAACTTGTAAGAAGACGAGGGAGGGAGGGGGGGGAATGTGGGTGAATAAAAAAACCTGACGCGGTTCTATATTTTGCTCTAAGCCAACTACTTAAGAGCCAGATGGGTTCGGTGTTGAATGGAAGCGGCTTTGGATGGAGACACACCGGGGATTTGTCCTTTTCCTGGCAGCCCGCACACCTCAGCAGCCGCTAACAAGTGCAGAATAGATGAGAACGGCTCTTTTATGTGTCTTTTCCAGAAACTGGAGGAGCCAGGACGTGTGCTTATTGTTGCCGTTGGACGGAATCGATATTTCCAGATCTGTTTTTTTTTTTTTATCTCTAACATCCGACGGGTAATGGACGAGCGCACGCTCCTCCTTTTTAGAATCTGAATGCCTCTCTTTCATCTCCTCACACTTTAGAAAAGCATTGATTGTCAAGGAAACAGGCAGAAGAATGCATGAATGTGATACTCTCCTATTCTCCACACGTTCTTTTAAACACCTGTTCTCTCCTTCGAGCCTCGGCGTCTCGGGTGCTTTCATCAGGAGTCGAAAGGGTCAGGGTTTCTTTTTTTTGTGTGTGTGTGTTTTTTGTTTTCCCGTCATACCTCCTGTCTTTGTTTCCACACACCAGCAGATGAGGGGGGGCGTCTCTCAGGTTGATGCACGTGTAGTCTCCCGGCGAGTTGCCCACGCAGGCGGCCGGTTTGCTCGTCTCCAGGCTGTAGACGTGGATCTGAAATGGTTTCGGAAAGTCAGTCAAACTCCAAACGCGCCACACGTTTCGCTGGTTAGGTAAAAGGAGAAAAAATCCAGAATCTCGCCGGGTGAAAATGTTCTGCCAGTGAAAGCATCTGTTCTATGTGCTGGAAACAAATAATGTGAAAGTAAATAAATGGGTAATCGATTTACTGCTAGCTAAATTTCTGACGCAGTTCTGACCCATGGTGAGAACAAAAAGGGCCAAAATTCCCACTTTTTTGGCCAGTGTGAGCATCTCGACTTCTGAAGTCTTTCGGGTCCCAGGAACTGTCTTTTTTAATCTTCAAATTTAAATTTGACACCATTTATACAACATTTACACGTGGCGTCGGGGTGCCATTTCCTCTGTGCTGTTCACAAAGTCCCATTCGAGACTTAAAGAGGCAACGGAAGCCTGAGGTTGCATCGATTTGTTTGGGTCTAAAGTCTAATCCGCTTTGTCTCCGAACAAAATATCTTTTGACGAGAGGCAGTTCAAGGCCGCTTTACTGTGTAAGAGATGCGGCGTTAGGCGGTAATGACATGATTAAGTGGGGAAGAGAGGGAAAAAAAAAAAAGAACAGACACAAATTTCAATCACGGTTTTTGGCTGGACGGCGGCGGTAAAGTTTCTTCGCTGAAAGTTAAAATGATGTCATCTGGAGTTGGCCTAATCGGTCAATTAGCAGCTGGTGTTTTCTCATCCAAACGAGACAGAACAAACAGGATAACCCACCAGGCAGAATCGACTTTGAATAATTAAAACGACAAAGAAATGAAGACGAGGAGAGGGGAGGGGAGTGGTGAAATACAGACAGCCAAAAGGTAAGGACACGAAAGATGAAAAGAAAAGAAAGGAGAAAAAAAAGGATGGAGACAAGACAGCGAAGGAAAAAAATGTTTAAGAGGATGGGGTGGAAAAAAAAGGAATGATGTAAGCCTTGAGGAGGCGCCAGCAGTTTTTGTGTGTCCCCTTATTTGGGCCAAGCAGAGCTTTAATTGTGCACCACCCCGGGGGCAAAGCCCAAATCACACCGGGCTTTGAAATGACAGCTTGATAGGATTTGGACGGCGCGGGAAAGGGGAAGACTGAAATGAGCCTCGGCCTGCTGTCCTCAATGAATCACTGCAGACTTTTGGAGGATCATTTTATTTTTTTTATATTCAATATCCGCCCGCCTCGCCCTCCGAAATGAAGACCTGTCGATGAGGCCTCGTGCACATCTGGCCGAGGCAGGCGGCCATTTTGTGTCTTTCTCGTCGTCATGTCGTCAACCTAAAATCGGGTCTTTTCGCTCCAAAAGAAAGAGTCCCAGATGTTCGGGGCTCACGGCTAAAGTCGCCTGCTGAGATGGCTGCTGCCTGTGAAACAATCTTAGGTTTAGAGTCACGCTGCCTTCAGGCGCCATGCGAAAAAAAACAGAGATCAATCCCCATTGGCTCGGGCTCACGGTCGTCGCTGGGTTGTGGTTTCGTGTTAAGGTGCGTTTCCAGAACATCTCAGTCACAAGTTGTGACAAAGGGATGTATACAAGAGATCTTTCTTTAATCTAAATCATCAAACTCACGAGTCCACAGGGCCCTCCAGCACCTTACCTTCCCACATTTTGCTTTTCTCCTAGCTCTGGAAGTCAAAACTCACAGAAGTTTCGCTTAACTTTCGCTTAACTTTTGCTTAACTTTCGCGAGACTGAAAACTGCAACTTTGATAACTGGGCCTTCTTATCCATCTTGAGACAGAATCTCCCTTAAAAGTAACTTATTTTCTCGACATCTCTGACAAGATATGATAGATTTCCTGACTGGGGTGTGGGGGGGGGGGCTGCCCAGGTCATGCTGGTCTAATGGCTTGAGGAAGGCGGGTCATAATGAGACCGGATTTAGCCACATATGACACCTCTCCTAAGGCTGCATCCGAAAGAATAAGGAGTTGGGGAGAGAAAGCCGCAGGTTGAACCCCAACTCCGATATAATTTTGGAAGATTTTGCCCAATGAACAGGCAACTTGGTGGCGTTCAGCTTCTCCGAGTCAAAACGCCGTGAACAAAAGTGTCACGTTTTTTTTTTGGGTGTGAAGAAAAAGGTGCGAGATGGCTTCCCTGGATACCAGCTCCATGCATCTTGACAGGTTTTAATGAAGCATATGTTTTCTTTTTTCTAAAGGCGACGCAAACAGTTGCAGCCAAATCCCGCTCCGTCTTTCTATGGAAGCGCGACAGCAGTGACAGACAAGGAAATTAAGCCGGAGAGATGTGTCGACAGGCAGCAGCCCACCATGAATTGGCATAGTTACCATGAGTTTTGGCAAAGACATCTCAGGAAATAAAAAAGTTAAGACTTGCTAAGATAGCATGCTATTAGATTTGCATATGCGTGTAGAAGTAAAGTAAATCAGGTCAGTTTTAGATGATGGAAATTTACATATTCATATTAATTTTATCTAACATCATCTGGATGAGCTTTTGCTCTGAAAAAAACACAACTTTCTAGTTCAAGTTCTTCTCCTTGTTCGAGCTGTTTTTTGTCATTTCTGCTAAGTGTGATAACCACAAAAGATGATGTGAGAGTGGGTGAATCGACGCGTTCCTTTATATGACATGATGTGTCTGAAAACATAGTTTGAACTGAACCTTTCCGGCTCCGTCTGCCCAGCAACAGCGTTTAACTTCAGAAACAAGCTCTCACACCGTTGAAAACTACATTTCCATAACACACATAAACCAGAGTAATGCTACAATGAAAATACGGGAAGGAGCTGTGTGGAATTGCTCAAGTTGTGAATCAAAAAGAAAAAGTCAAGCTTAAAGTTACCATGAGGTCAAATTCACTGTCTCTAAGGCAACCAGGGCAGGCTGGAGCTTTGGACCACATACTGCCCGAACTCCTACTGCCCTCTTTGTGGGCTTCAGCATTCCACAATTTTTAGTGACCTCTTTAAGCTGGATTAAAAAAGGACTTATAAAAAGGTTTGAGAAAGGTTGGGGTTGGGGTAGCTGCTTGTCTCCAAGAAAAAGAAAAGAAAAAGATCCCAAATCCCTTTTTCCTTAATCAGATCAAGAGTCTTCAACATGGTCTGGACAAGCAAGTCCGATCACGGGTCAGGGGTGATTCACATCCACCATATTGAACTTTGGGAAAGAGGGGGCACTTATTCATATTGCTTGTCATAATTTAATGGCCGATTGGTGTGAAGTCAGTGTGCATAAACAGTTCTTTTTAACTAAATACTAAATAAATAAACTATGTGAGTCAATAAAAATCTAGTTGGAAGAGGAGGATTGAGGGAAAACCTCAATAACTTCTCGGTTGAAAAAACAAAGAGAGAGTCCGGTCACATAGTGAGGTTTCATCTCTGTGGGACATCTGTGCTTCTCTGCCTTTGGTCCACTATGTGGCCGTCAGCCTGTGTAAGTCCAACATTGTTCCAGCTATGCTTTTCTACTGGGGATGATGTCAGTGTAACCAGCTTTGCCAAAAGCCCATCAATTCCAAACAGTCTGAGTCACTCAAACACATCGATTACCTTTTTTTTTTGGACAGAAACAAGCAATCCTGCTGCTTTTTTATTTTAATTCTTTGGTTGTCTAGTGAAACTGACTATTGTGTGTATTAAAAGTTGAGAATGCATAATGACCCCAGAGCAGGAGCCTGCTGATCCCTGCAGATTACTTTGTCTCATGACTCTTTGTACTAAGTGAGGGCTTAAAAGTCAATTAGCCACGTGGGGTCCTTAGAAACACGGTATTATTAGAAACAAACAGTAGGAGGTTCAGAAACAACACTTGATCAAACTATCCTTAAAGCTTGGGGTAATTAAGAGCGGAGCCCGGGGGGGGGGCTTGGTGCAATTTAAGATGGCTATAACTACTACAAGAAAACTCCCTGAAGTACACGGCAAACAATGGGGACGCAATGTAGTAGTGATGGCACCACCAGGAGACCTGATTTACATTTACACAGATGAGCGCATGCAGTGTGCAAAACAACTAAAATCAAAACAGTTGCGGGTTGCTGGTTTTTTAAAAATCGGCAAAGTTCGCGTGGCCTTGCAAGGAGAGGGCCCGTCTTTTCCATTTAAGAGTTTTAATTGATTTAGGAAGATAGGAAAGACAAGCATTCAATTAATCTTGCGATGGCCTCGAGCCAAAACTGTTGTCCTCGCCGTGTTTTTCCCCGGCTATTGACTGCATATGTACAGAACAGCTATCAACTCCCCGTTTGAACAAACCAAATTACCTTCCCATTTATTCATTATGCACCTGCTGCAAACACAAACAGCCTTGTTTGCTCTAATGGAAAGCTTTCATTGAAATCGTTAGGGTAGCTATCTTCTTGCAGCACACGTAAAAAATCCAGATGTTGATGTCTCAAGTTTGGCCGTAGAGTTTGCCAGCATTCGTATTCAGCCCCTCTCTACAGAGCAGCTCCATCTCCCCATTAGCACACAAGCACTAAACTGTGATTCTGCAGAAACAAAGGGGTGGTGTTCAAAGAAGCGGGGGCAAGCTGTCGCAACATTTGACCTGGCGTCGATTTTTAATAGGCGCATGAAAAACACAAAACAAGGTTAATGGAACAAATTGAACCTTTTTTTTTAACAGAGGAAGATGGTTTGTTATTGTTTTATGGAGAAGGACACATTTCTTTTGTCTTTTCCTGTTCATTTCGTGACTAAAAACTAAACTCACGTCTTATCCTGAATCTGAAAATGCTGTTAGTGCCCAGTAAAAAAAGCTAGATATAATAAAATGACCATATTTCTATAATATAGACAGCTATTTTAACACACAGTAGATAAATAAAGCAGCACTGAAACCACTTAGACACAGACTTTCAGAAGTGCAGATACCTGTTGTGTCCTAAAATAAATAGAAAATTTAAGGAATTATCATTTCTATTATTAGTGGTAGCTGTATGGTTTTTAACTGTCCAGTTTTACTGAGCTGCTTGCAGAGAAATATGCTGAATTCAGACTTGGGACCGGGCAAAAGGCCTAATAAAAATATTGGTAAAAGGACAGTGTGGAAGATGGCACATTTCTACTTCCTAGAGAGAAAATTTAAAGAATTAAAATTTCTATTATTAGTGGTAGCTGTATAATTTTTAACTGTCCAGTTTTACTGAGCTGCTTGCAGAGAAATACGCTGAACTCAGACTTGGGACCGGGCAAAAGGCTTAAAAATATTGGAAAAAGGACAGTGTGGAAGATGGCACATTTCTACTTACATCCATCCATCCATTATCAATACCGCTTATTCCCTCATGGGGTCGCGGGGGGAACTGGAGCCTATCCCAGTGGTCAACGGGCGAGAGGCAGGGTACACCCTGGACAGTCCGCCAGTCCATCGCAGGGCCACACACAGGACATACAAGGACAAACAACCACTCACACTCACATTCACTCCTAAGGGCAATTTCCCCAATCTCCAATCAACCTAACATGCAGGTTTTTGGACTGTGGGAGGAAGCCAGAAAACCTGGAGAGAACCCACGCAGACACAGGGAGAACATGCAAACTCCACCCAGAAAGGTCCTGGTTCCCCCGGGATTCGAACCCAGAACCCTCTTGCTGGGAGGCGACAGTGCTAACCACCACACCACCGTGCCGCCCACATTTCTACTTCCTAGAGAGAAAATTTTAAGAATTATCATTTCTATTATTAGTGGTAACTGTTTGATTTTTAACTATCCAGTTTTGCTGAGCTGCTTGCAGAGAAATATGCTGAACTCAGACTTGGGACCGGGCAAAAGGCTTAATAAAAATATTGGAAAAAAGGACAGTGTGGAAAATGTCTACGGCATAGAGATGTGGAAGATGGCACATTTGTACTTCCTAAAGAAAGCGCACCTTGTTGCCGCTGTCGTGCATGGCCCACCCCGTACGCTTCACCCCGAACGCCAGCAGGGAGGCGGAGGCGTCCAGGCAGGTGACGGGGTGTCCGTAGACCGAGTGGAGCGTCTGGAGCTCCTCCTCCCGAGGATTCAACAAGTACACGCTCTCCCCTGCTGTCAGGGCTGCCAGCGGGCTCAGACCCAGCCTTCCTGGCACCAGAATCAGACTCTCCACCTGCCATCAGACACGTGACAGCTTAACACAAACGGTAATAAAGTGATTAAGAAGAAAGCTTAGCAAACTGCAGTTCAAAAGTCAAATAAATCCAGTTTGAAATCACACAAAACATAAGCATTGTAGCGAAAGGCAGTCACATAAGCATTTTTTCTGTGTGAATTTATTTTATTTTGTGAATATGAATATGTTTTACTTTTAATATCTATTTCATATCTTTGTGTTTTTTTTCGATTAATATGTACATACTTTTGGAAAATATTGTAACAATGTCAGATGGAGACGTCACCGATTGGGTCTTCACTTGATCACGTGATGCCTTTGATAGGAAGTTCTGAGTTTTGTTTAAAATTAGTCTGTGTGTGCAAGAGTAAAGGCAAAGAACTGAAATATGGAAGAAATGGACCTCTAGCAACTCCTAACCTTCTGGTTGGAGGAGCATATGGTATGGACAATTTAGAGAATTTATATTTTGTTTAATAAGTTTCATTTGATAATTCATGTAAGGTAACATGACGGATTCACTGATTAATATTTTCCACGGTGTATTTAGCAGTGTTCACGGTGGTCTTGGGCGTTTGCATGACGGAAAATCCTTTAATAAACGTTTGCAACCATCAGTTGGATTTTTGCACTTTTTAAATTATTTATTTATTTATTTATTTAATCAGGACAGTGCACATTAATGAACAATCTCATACAGATTGTAAATGAGCCAGATTATAGCATAGTTGCTAGTTTACATCTGTCGTCCTGAGGCAGGAAGATCAAACAACAAAAAATCACAAAATACAAAATCAGTCCAAACACACGTTCAGACAATGACATTACAAAATTAAAATTAATTCAATTCAATTCAATTTCATTTATATAGCGCCACATCACAACAACAGTTGTCTCACAGCGCTTTCCAAACAGACCCTACTCTGAAGTTAATTACAGAAACCCAACAATTCCCACCATGAGCAAGCACTAGGCGACACAGGCAAGGAAAAACTTCCTTTTAACAGGCAGAAACCTGGAGCAGAACCATGGCTCAGGGTTAGAGAAAGTTGGGAGCAGCTATAAGCATCTATGAGACGTTTCGTACAAGTGGAGACACAAAACCCCCCCCCCGGACTCACAGTTTTGGGTATCTGGGCCCGGCGAACCGTCCTCCAGTAGCCGCAGTCCTCCGCGCTGTCCAGCCGGACGTCTGACCCCGCGGCGGAGGCCAGGGCGGGGCCGTCGGGGCTCAGGGCCAGAGCCTGGACCCTCCCCGCGCACTGGTAGTGGTGGATGGGCTCTCCACCCGTCTCCGTGCTCCACAGGTCAACACAACCTGGACAAAAAATCACAAACATCATACAATGTGACACTAAAGAGGGGACCCACAGAAAGAAGCTAAATGTTAACCCCTTAAAGCCTGATCCAAGAATGAGACAAAACAGAATTTTTTTTTTTTTTTTTTGGTTGGAATTCCTTATTTGCTCTTTTAACAAAATATGTAAAAAGAAAAACAGATATACATTTTTGATATTAATAATTTATTACTATGCGATAAGTCAAGATTGTTTTTCGTGTAGTCTTCTGCCCCCTGTTATCAGGTGTATCTGATTGTGTACAATAGGATTTTGAGCAAAGTTTTTACCATTAAATTATCCAAAAGGTGTCAGACCCATAACATTTCAGAAACCGTACATATCAAATATGATACATTTGGCATTATAGGGTTAAAAGGCTTAGGGGGCACATTATACATTATACTGGAGAGCTTTAGCATTTTAAGAAAAAGCTAAAAATGCATATCCTGAACTGTTTTAGCTCAGTCATTCAGTACACCACTGGTAGTCCATGAAGAGCTGATGGTTTTTAATGCCCAGCCTGTAATGGAGGGAACAGTTCCACATCCTCCGTTCGTTCTCTAACGGGGATAATTTAAATCCCGTTACTCACCGTCCTCGTACGCGGCGGCGGCCACGGCTCCGCTGACCTGCACGCGGCTGACGTGCGGCCGGGGGTCGCTGTTGGCCGACAGGCCGTTGGGTCTCAGGTAGGAGGAGGTGGAGTCCCAGTGCAGCGTGTCCCACAGCCTCACGTCGCCCGATGTGTACCTGTAGAGCAAAAGAGGAAAGCGTTCACCTGCTTTTACTTTTACTGATGCATATTTCTCACATTCCTCCTTTTCTCTGTCTCTGGCACTAGACGGGAGCACCAGATCGCAATCAATAGTGTGGCTAGATAAACTCAGGCATGCGTTGAAAGCTGGATAAAAGTCCTTTGACGGACAAAAACGAATCAGTGGAAATGCAGATGGCATCACATAAGCCCATCACATAAAAGAGTACAGTCCCAAAAGCCTCCAGACTGAGGGCCTTGCTTTTATTATCCGAAGTCAACTGGTTTGTTTCAGGCCCGACTGGCTTCACTTTTCCCCTTCCGATCTCGATCTTTTACAGGTTACGAACATGCTCATTGGGGGACAAAACAGAACAAAAACAAAGCTGGCATTCCGCTCCACGACACAGGATCTCAATTCTGATAAGCTGCTGATGATGCGACTACAGTGGGGACCTGAGTCATTTGTGGGGTTAGAACCATTTAGAGACCTTCTCCTGCCTGTTGAGCATCGGCAGCGTGTTTTATGAGCTCCACGGGAAGGTCCCTTCTGCATGGTGTGAGGAATTTCTGCAAATGAGCTTTGAGGATTGGATTTGCCCGACTAGCTCTGGATTTGTTCATCTTCAGATCGTCCATGTGTTTCCTGAGGTTGTCGCTGTACTGAGGGAAAACCTTCAAGTATCCTTGCTTTTTTGTGTGTTTTTAATTCTCATAATACTTAATACTGACTGCATTTGAACACAAACATCTGTGCTTTGCACTTCTTGATTTTGAGATTGTTGTTATGGTGATCAGATTAACTCATTTTTACTTGTGTCCCAAACACCATGATGGATTTCAGTCAATAACATTTTTAAATCCCACAGTTTTGGGTTCCTCAAATTTCATTAGGATTTGAAACAAGCCGAGCGTAACTGTCCTCTAAAGGGTTATTTTGTATCATAATGCTGTACTTTTTTACCAAATTAATGAAGATAGACTTGTAATTCTACATTTCCTCCAATTGGAATTTACTTTTTTTTAGCAAAACTTCACCTCCTTCCAATTTTTGTGGCAAGGCCGAGCTTGGATTTCCATATCACACGAAAGAGTGAGCGTACACCCCTCAGAAAGCGACAACGGAAATATACGGGAGCTTTTCTGGGGGGTCGGGCCCTCTCTGTTACTCACACGTAAGGATTGCTTAGAAGTTTTGTCCCGTTGCTTTCTAAGTGCCAAATCTCATCCCGCCGCTTTTCTAATGCGATTGTGTGCTCCGAATTGAATCACTTTTGATTGCTCTTAACTGCCATTGATTCTTCTCAAGATAAACTACTTCCAAGTACTTCCATTTAGCTCGATCACCATTAAATTAACAATAATGGGAAAAGTATTGGCATTGTAAATTTGTTAATGGCAATGTGTATAAAACCCTGGATTGAACAGAATATTCCCATTGTGCTAAGAACATTATTTAACATGTTGACTGCTTTTTCTGAGCTGCCTGTAATAATAAATGACATGGAATGGGTCGCAAACTTACTCTCTTCTGCAGAGGGACCCAGCAGGACCGATGGGAATCTAATAACAACCGTCCCTGGAGACGCTGGACATCTCCTTGTGGGCTTTCTATCGAGGTCTCCCAGGTCCCTCACAATTTATCACTGTCTCCATCCCGCAAGGTTTGTTCCACTAGAGCTGCGTTTAACATTCCCCTTAACTACGACTTTCATCTCTTTAGCATCTTTGATGAGAACGAAAAACAGATATGTGTCAATTGAGCTCAGAATTTAAATGGATTTATGTAATTAGATTTTTTTTTTTAAATCATTAATGACAAGCACTAAGAATTAATCTTTGAAACAGTTGATTTGGTAACCCTACAAGCATTGATTTCCCCACAGTCAGGTCTGGGTGGACTTTTTGACGTTTAAGTGTTTCCTTTTTTTAAGTTTAAATTTGTTTTTGGGGTGATTTGGTCCCTCGTTTTCTGCTAAGCCAGTTTTGTGTGCGATGGAGGGCTTTCCCTGGTTTCTAAACTAAAAAAACCTGAAGGGTGACCGGTCAGAGCATACTGTGATTTTCAAAAAGGGGGTGGCCTCCACGGCTTCACTTTTCACCCAAAACATGAAAACGAAAAGTAGCAGTTAGATCTCAGACGGCTGTTTCACAGGAACTTTGTTAAATTATGGCGTTTTTCCATTAGAGCCCACTCAGCCATGCACAAGTATTAGCTGGTTTACAAATTACAGCCCCGTTTTTTACAAATTACTGCCCCGTTTTTAAACACTCGTGGAAATGCGCCATTAGAGGATTGCAACAGTAGAATACTGAACAGGGGGCTGATGATACCCATTCAGAATATTTTCTTTTGAGTTGGTGTAATCTAATTAAGAAGGAAAAAAAAAAAGAGGCTAACGCAAAAACAAAAGTGAATGACAGAAATGCATTTGTTTATCTAAAGATATCTTCTGATAATGTCGTCAAACGTTTATCAAAGATAATTTTTCGAAAGAATCAGTCATCAAGTGACAGCTGTAATCTTATAATCTAATCTCATATAATGTAATAAAATGCCCCGTCATGAGTTAAGACATCCCGGAGAAACTTTCACTTAAAGCGACAGTCTAATCGGAGCAGAGAATAAACGGCCAGGCTTCATCACTGAGCACTTTGATGTCCGCAGGTGCTCTCCAAAAACTCACCCGGCGAGGACGAAGCTGTCAGATGAGCTGACATCACACAGCACCTTCCCCAACTCGAACTGCAGCTGGCTGATGGAGCCCACTCGATTCTAAACAGAAAAAACAGGCTTCAATGAGAACAACGACAACGAAACCGTAGCACTATTTGCTGGCTTTCAGAATGGTCATCTTCACGCCATAAAGACAGTTTTTATCCAGCAGCAACTGGCCTCATCAACGAGGCCAGTGACCCCCACCTATTCTTCTCTCACCCCCCTCTACCCCACTAATTTACCCAATACTACGTTAAACTTTTTCTGGTTTGTCGTTGGACATTCAATATTTTATTTTATTTTATTTTATTATTTATTATTATTATTATTATTTATTTTCTTTTATTCTATATTTTTATATTTTTATTTCTACATTGTATGTCGTTTCTTGTTTCTCATAGAAGTGTTGTGCACCTAACACCAAATCAAATTCCTTGTAGGTGAAAAACCTACTTGGCAATAAACCTAATTCTGATTCTGATTCTGATTCTATTTCCCTTACAAATAATCAGAAGACATGATTCCTGTCACTGCCTGTGAACATTTGACCACAGGTTCCCGGTCTCGCTCTTTGCACATAATTGTGTAAATGAAATGCTGAAACAGCTTCATGTCTTAAGAAAGATGTTGCATTTTCTTAAAACAGATTCGTAAATAAAGTGTGTTTTTTCGCTGAGGCCCACCTTCCAGTTGGATTGCACGGTTTTGGCCGAGTTCCTGGCGTCTCTCAGGGTGCTCTTCCAGCAGGGGGAGTCAGACACACGGGCGTCCGGGTGGTAACCCTCTTTGGTGCACATTCTGAACCACAGAACGCCGTCCTCCGCGAGCACCCTCCAGGCCCTGCTCACCTGGGACGGGATTGGACGGCAGTGACTGTGATGTGAGTCAGCATACATTAGGAGTTTGCGTCACTGGCCGGTGCTTAACGAGGCCGGCCGCCTGCCAAATGGGCCGAGAGCTGCGAGTCTGCCACGCAAAATGTGATTTACTGATCTGCACCAAATCAACTCGTGTAAGGGACTGAGCAACACGGCACACGGAGGAGGGGGCACTGGTTAACCGTGGTTTGAGGACACCACTTTAAAGCTGCACACAAAACAAAGACCACAACGGATTAAAACTGGGGTGCAGACATGACTCATTTTAGGGAGTTATACGTTCTGTTTTTATCCACAGAACAAGAATTGTCGCGATTTCCACTCAAAATATCTGTTCGATCCTCCCATTTGTTTAATTTTAAACCCCTTACGACTGTTTTTTGTGGTTGTTTGTTTGCTTTTTAAAACCCAATCCAAAATAAAGCCACAATTTTAAGGCAGGGTCAGCCTTATCCGTTTAAAGAACTGGCTGCTAACAGGGGTACACACCCTGGACAGGTAACCTGTGCATCGCAGGGCCACACAGAGACAAACAACTACACCCACAGTCACTCCTAGGGGGAAATTAAGAGTGTTCTATTAGTTTCACGTGCAGGTTTTTGGACAGTGGGAGAAAAACACCACATCGACTAAAGGAACAATTACAATCAATTCTGCAGTACATCTAAGCAGTCTGGAGCTTAAGTGCATGCAGATAAATACAAAATTGGAGGGGAAAACATACCTGAATTCTACAAATGCCCCTAAACTTAAACAAAGTAATTTATTCTGGAACAAGTTCAAAGTCTTACTCCAGGTTTCCGCCTTGATTTGTACATTAACAACTGAAACTGTGTGCTCTCAAGAGGTACAGATTTCCAAATCTGAGGTAATAAAACTTGAATAAAACTTAGGCTTAAAAACTGTGGACAATGAGGAGGAACACAAAACCAAATTTGACATGTTTACAGCCTTTGTTGACAATAGGGGACACGTGTGAACAGACTTTTGTTCTAAGTATCTCATCTCTTACCAGATTGATTCAGAAAAGATAGAAGCACTGGTCTACATACTTTACATGTATTTGGTTGCTTTTTTTTTAATGAACATAGCCTTTAATGGAAGCTTACCTGGGCACAACGGCCAAGTTCAGCACAGCTGAGATACTGGAATATCTTCAGGGCTAACTCATACGGCAACTCAATGTCAAAGAAGGGAATGTCATTGACTTCATTCTGCAATAAGAAAAAAGAGCAATTCGTTTAAAATTCTGACTCATTCTGGCTGAGTTCCATCTTTTATGTAATCATCATCATCATCTTCCTCGTACCAGGTCTTGAATGAGTTGATCCACCAGCTCCTCGTCTCTCCTCACTTTTCTCTGCGGCTGCTTCTGCTGCTGCAGGGATGCACTGCACACACTTGTTAGGTTTTGATACAGCCTCTTTCTCCTGGTTCTCTCTTCCTGAATCCTGTCCAACAGGGGACTGGTCCTCCCATCCAGCAAGCCACGCGCAATGGACACATACTCAGGCTGGTCCTCTGTCTCTATGGCAGCTCTTCTATCTTTTCCTCCAACGTCTATGCAGCCGTCCTCTTCTGGTTTGACAGAAACACCTGGCTCGTTGGTATTCTCCCTGTCTCTCCAGCGTAACTTATCAGGAACATCCCGGGAGGAGGAAGGACCACAAACAAGACGGCAGTCCTCTTTTTTACCAGTTAACTCTTGTTTCCAATGCTCCCTGAAGGCAGCCAGGTCGTTGTCTGCCATGTCATAGTTATTTGTATATTATAAATAAGGAATAAATAACAGCAAAACCTATTTTTATAGCATTTATAAGTAGCTAAAGGCGGCTGTTTTTCAACACAGACACTAAACAAGCCCGTCCTCTCACATAAACAGTCCGAAGCAAAACAGGGGTCGCTGTGTATTAGTTCCGCCTGTTTTCAATTCCACTGGTTTATTGTAGATGCTTTGATACTGACGGGTAAAATATGTCTTCGCAGCGGTGAAAATGTCATTATGGTTATTTCGTGTTATTTCACGACTTTGACATTTTTTCTTTTACATTTCAAAGTTCGGACATATTGTTATATTATTTTTACGCTCAAACATAGCGCACGGGAGCATAAAACGCCCTCCGTCTCCTTTGACAAAAGATTCCTCAGATAAAACAGGGAGAGATCCGAGAGTTAACCATCTCGTGTCTCTTTGTAGAAAAAGATGATGTAAACCCTGTTAGAGCGTGTGACGCGGTAATGAATAATAAAGTAGCAGGGGGGTGGGGTGAGACCGGGCAGGGGGACATAAACACGGCTGAGGTGGAGAGGGAGGAGGGTCGCACATCCTCCAGACTTAAAGAAGGACCGGGCCGGCCGGTTGCTCGGTCAGAAAAAGATGTGCTGGCTGCCGATAAACCAGCCATTGCTGCACCCGGGAGACTCCAGCTGCAGCGCGCGAGGGCCCTCCGCGTGCTCAGTGGCTCAAATGCTCGCGTGCCGCCTGCGGAGGATCGGGGACCGGCTGGAAAAGACCTGGACGAACCGGGACACCGAGGTGGGGGGGTTCAGATGCGGGGACCCGGCGGGGGTGAGAGCCGGAGGCCGCCTGAGGGGCTTCCTGTGCATCGCGGTGCACGTGACCGTGCTCGTGCTGTTCGGCGCGAGGCGACACCTGTAGGTCGCGAGCAACAGGTAAGTCAGGCAGATGTTGTTGTCGTGTGGGCTGGAGAATGTGTTCCGGGTCTTTTTTGTTGTTGTAAGAATACAACCATAACCCTATAACATTTTTATTGTGTTATACCTGAAACTGGATTTTAAAAAGCATGCATTTGACAAGGCATGAGAACTTAAAAGTGTAACATTACGTTATTTTGATAGCTTCCCCACCAATAAAATGTCAACGTACGAGAATGGAGGCATTTAAAAGTTGTCCGGCATGATTTTGGCCAGTTCAATTTTGTTAGATAATACAAACAAAACACCCCCAATAAAGTCATACATAAATTCTTCTGATTTGTTTAGACTGTTTTCATTTTACAACAATCAAAATTAAGGTGAATTCTTTCCTCTTTGTCGTCCAGAAACAAGATGAACGAGAAGTAACTGTCCTATTGTCCTCTTCCGAGTACATTATGAAAAAACCCTGATATATTATCACATTAACCTCCTCTTCTTGTCGTTAGTGTTCTTGTTTTTTTAACCTATTTTGGGTCGGATATGTGCGTCTCTGTGGGTTCAGCTTTATTTGACGGATAAAACATGGTTGCCAAAGTACCATAAGTCACAAAGGAAATTCGTATAACTGTTAAATGCCTTTTCATGGCGTTTTGAGCAAATGGAAAGCAAAAATCTGAAAAAAATATTTTTACAGATGGTGCCTTTGCAGAAAATGACGCGGGCCTGCATCCTTTGGGCTTAAGGCTGGAGCCCCGGGGGCCCGAGACCCCGGGGGTGGGGGAGGGGAGAAGCAGCATCCCCGAACCGGTGTCACGGTCCCTGCTCCGGTTTAACCAACACTTCCCCGGGCCGGGTGAGCCCACGAGCGGCCCACGCGCACGTCCTGCCCCCCGCGCGACTCTCTGGTGATTCTGTCATCCCATTTACAAAAGCGGTGATGTAATCCTCCCCCCCCCCCGGCGGGAGTCTATCAACGACGGCTGGGTTAGAGCCATCAGACACTCTCAATCCACATAAATGTAGCAACCCCCCCCCCCCCCTCTAAAAAAAAAAAAATGCACTGACATGCAACTGGTTCTAAGCTCTACATTGCACTGTACTTTTTTTTCTTGATATAAGCTATTCTCTCTGTAAAAGCTGTAAATAGTGAGAATGTTTTTATAGGTGTTTTCTACTGTGTCTAGACCCGTTTGTGCTTTATTATCAGCAACAGAGTCGTGTTGCTTGTTTTTACCAGGAGAAAAAAATGCTGGACCTGTGTATAAGGACCTGTTATGCGTCTTGTGACTTCTCCATGTAAGCTTTCCCTGATATATGAAGTGTAACGTGAGCAGAAAAGCTGTTTTTTTAATATAAAACGGTGCGTTCTTTTATGTCGGAAATATTTCATATTGACATCTTTTGACAGTCGTAATAATAAAAGATTTTACTCAGATGTTTCGTCCCCAGGTGTGGTTTAATACTAACAAAATTAACAAAACTTTGCAGAGTGATGCATTTATGGTGCATCTAACAGCCACTCACGTTTTGTTCAACACAATATCTTTGCTAAGCAACTCCTCAAAACACACAGACTGATTGAATGATTGAATGCAGGCAGGTTTTTACGTTGTTAAAAGGTGAAAATCTAATTCAAAATGTTAAACATCAACTATAAAATTAAACTAATCGAAATAGGGAAAATCTTAAACAGGCACAAAACAAATTGAGCCACATTTACAGCAAATAAAAGAGATAATACTGAGCCTTCCTCTTCCCCAGCATTAATAAAACTAGAAATAACTCATGTGACAAGAATAAAAGGATTAAAGTGATTTACGGTAAGGGATTGGCAACAATCAGACTTGTTGGTGATTTGGTTTTCGCTCCCTGCGTGTCGTGCATCACAGAGCTACGGTGGCTGAGAAGTGCAAAACACATTTACAATAAAATAAAAAAAACGTTGAAAAATTAAAAAACAAAATAACATTGTAAGATACACATTCACAATTAAAGAAACACATCCATCCATTTTGTGAACTGATTATTCCCAAATCGTTGACATGAACAAATGAGAAAAAACAATGTAGCATTTTCAGAAACAAATTCATTTTTTAGGAGACAAACATTTTTGGAAAAAAAAAGTTTCTTAAAATGTTATGTTTTTTTCATTTGTAAATGTGTTTTCTGAACTTTAGATGTGTATCCTAAAATTGTATTCAGCTTTTTTAAATCATAAGGTGTTTTTTTCAATTGTAAATGTGTTTTGCGCTTCTCACCGTACAGAGCTTACGCTTGCCGTGGCTTTAACAGCTACCAGATCACCGTCTACCTTCCCTCACACCTCCCGTGTGCAGCGGTGGGTTAGGGTTAGGCTCAGTAGATCTGGAAGTGGGCCGAGGTGGTGCCGTCCTTCCAGCAGCGCAGGCTCTCGGTGACGGTGGAGCGGCACAGAGGACACGTGCGCTCCCGGTCGAACCACAGACACAGGCACTCCTCACAGAAAACGTGCTGCAAAGGGGGGGGGTACCAGAAAAGCCCCTATTAGCTGGTTTCTCTCTAAAACCTGGATTTAGTCGCTTTGCATCCCTGGGAGCTACTGTATTTGCATGGGATCACCTGAGACTTAAAGCTCGACCTGATTCTTTACAGACCGAAAGACACCACGAAACCACATAGAGTGGGGGAAATAAGTATTTGACCCCTTGCTGATTTTGCAGGTTTGCCCACTTACAAAGAATGCAACGATTTATAACTTTAATCATATGTACAATCTAACAGTGAGAGACAGAATCCCAAAGAAAATTCCAGAAAATCACATCATATGAATTTATAAAAATTGATAACCATCTGATGAGGAAAAATAAGCATTCTTTTTAAGTGGGCAAACCTGCAAAATCAGCAAGGGGTCAAATACTTATTTACCCCACTGTAGAGTTCAGGAGGAATTTTGTAAATTGACCTTTCTGAGACTCAGAAAATATTTAATTCCCCCCATCTAAAGGGGAATCCTGTATATCAAAGTGTCTATGCACTAAAAGCAAACAGCAAAACGGTTAATCAGATGTTATTTGAATAAATTAACAGAGCCTCTGCTGCAATAGAGGATATACTGTATAATTAATACTGAAACTAATATAAAGGGATGAAGCAGACATGTACAGTGGGGAAAATAAGTATATGACCCTTTGCTGATTTTGCAGGTTTGCCCACTTACAAAGAATGCTTATTTTTCCTCATCAGATGGTTTTCAATTTTTATAAATTCATATGATGTGATTTTCTGGAATTTTCTTTGGGATTCTGTCTTTCACTGTTAGATTGTACATATGATTAAAGTTATAGATCGTTGCATTCTTTGTAAGTGGGCAAACCTGCAAAATCAGCAAGGGGTCAAATACTTATTTCCCCCACTGTATGAATATGGATATATTTGTGCGAGTTAAATTAATTTTTAATGTAAATCAGACGTTTTGGTCAGAGAAGCTGCAAACAACAGGTGGCAGTAACAAACTGCTTTTTAATTCCCCGTAGTTCCCCTCAGGTTTTTATAAATAACTCTATAGATCCATAGAGAAATGGAGGCCCTTCTTACCTGGCAGAGGAGGGCTACGGGCTCTCTGAAGTCGGCCTGACAAATGGCGCAGACGTCCCCGGCCTCGCTGCACTGCTGACTGCCCGCTCTCACTCCATAACTCTGCAAGAAAAACAAAAAAAGGAAGTAAAACACTCGAGCTGGAAGCGCCTCTCTCCCATCTGATTGGCCGGACTCTGACCTGGGAGCTGCACAGCACCACAAAGGCCTTCCGGATGGCAGAAACCCGGCCGCAGACGTCGAAGGACTGGAAAGGAGGATAAAAGAAAAAGGTTTCAAACCCCACCGATAATTAGAGATGCGCAAAAAAAAAGTTTCCCTAATACCAGCTCTGATCCTCGATTTATATCCGGTTTCAATTCCGAAAGAAAACACCAGAATTATATTCTGTTCTGATCATTCAAAAGTCACCGTGCCATTCTCAAACCAATCATTAGCTGCTTATATTTATACACAACATAATCCATTGGAATAATAACAGTGGCCTAAAAGGAGGTTGTTGAGGGGGGGGGGGGGGTT